ATTAAATGAGAAGAAGTTGATATGCAGGAGAAACATATCTGACAGTTATACTGAATGCCTGAGACCTTTACTTCATTATATTACACTATATTTTTTTATTTTGAATTGTCACCTGCATTTGGGTGGCATGGTGGTGCAGTGGCTAGCACTGTCACCTCACAGCAAGAAGGTTGTGGGTCCAAACCCCAGTTGCCCCGGCCTTTCTGTGTGGAGTTTGCATGTTTCTCCCGTGTCCGCGTGGGTTCTCTTCGAGTGCTCCGGCTTCCTCCCACCATCCAAAGACATGCAGGCTAGGTTAATTGGTGTCTCCGAAATTGTCCTATGTGTGGCCCTGCGATGGACTGGCGACCTGTCCAGGGTGTACCCTGCCTTTCGCCCAATGTAGGCTCCAACCCCCCCGACCCTGTAAGCAGGATAAGCGGTTGATGATAGATGGATGTCACCTGAATTTTGTGTTTCCTTTTATAAAAATAAAGACATTTCCTCAATAAATTGGTGCAGAAAAATTCACCAGAATGCAGGAAATTAAGTGTTTGGAGCCCAAATTTTCCAAGGGGAGGACCCCCTGACCCCCCCATGTAGTAATTATAAAATCTGAATAAATGTATTTATATGACTGGCAACCTGTCCAGGGTGTACCACGCCTTTCACTTGATGTCAGCTGGGATTGGCATGGCGGTTGATGATGGATGGATGTATTTATGGCCTATGATATTTAATGATTAAGATGTAACTCAAGGATTTATAGGTAAAGTAGGTATAAAGTTCTGAAGGGGTGGGTGGGGGCTGAAAACAGGTGAAAACATGAAAGATTTCGGGCTGGGCTAAGCCCTCTCTAATGTTTCAAGAGCCATGGAAATGCCACTGCATGTTGTACACACAGACTCATGAAACAACCTCATGAAACAAAAACTATGCAGATATTTTTTTTTCATGAGGCTGAGTCTGTATGTACAATCTGTATTTGAGAGTTCTGCCACCACTCCAACATAATGGCGTTTTGTTAGTAGCGCCCAAAAGCACTTTATCCTGAAATAGTTGTCCCAATTTAAACAGTCCATAGCAAGGTCCAGCATTGCCCAGTCCTGAGAGCAAATATCTGAAAAAATCCATGGCTAGATGGCACTAGGGCTAGGTGGGATGCAACCTTGTGTGTTTCCTTATTTTAGGTGAAGTGACCCTTTAAAGAAGGTCATAGTATAGAAGTGTAAATATTGTAAGTATACAAAAGTCTGTTTACTTGCATGTGCTATGAAAGGCTAAAGATATCATCACATCACAGAATATACTTGTAACTCTGCGTGTGTGTGTGGTGTGTGAGAGAGAGAGAGATTGTTTATGAATATGGGGATATACTCTGCCAGGTGAGAGTACCATTTACCATCAAGCCATTGAGTTCAGCAGGCATCTAATAACAAAGCATTTATGGCCCACTTACGCATGCATAGATATAACTGTCAGTAGCAACAACAGCCTCCTCTCTCCCATCTCCAGCTATTCCTGCCACTCTTAAAACACAGGCACCATCCGGATTGGACCCAAATACTCTAGAATTCTATCGTCAGACTCGGGGATGAAATTAAAATCGCTCATTTTCTTTCTCCATGCAAGGAGCAGATCAATTTCCGGAGACGGGGACGTGATATTTTCCTGCCATTGGGCTTTCTCGTCTTTGGCACAGCACCCTGACTGGCTGCCAGCGGGGGGCCGGGCCTGACTGCACGCCTCGCCGGAGAACGGTTACTTCTGCCGTGGCGAGTTTATTTGCGCCTCGCTATGAGAATTGCCATCATTTACCCTTCTCCAACACCTCCCAAAAAGAAAAGAAATAGAAAAGAGGGGAAGCGAGGCAAGAATGAGAGAGGCGAAATTGATTCTTTTTGATACATGCTGCACGGGGGACATTAGGTACCCCTCGTTTCACCATGTATTCCAAGAAATGAACTGAATACATTTTGCGTAAAGCAATGTATAGGCCTTTTGGTGGCCTTGTACTGTTGTTTGTAGGAAGAATGAATTGCACGCTGCAGCGTGCAGAAGTTATATTATGCCGAGTTTTAAGAGAAGTCAATTAATTATACAGATGTACATGAAAGATTACTCACTTTCGTAACTCAGCGTGTGTTAAGCATGACAAACTTAAGGCCAACTTGATGAACCTGTGGAGCATTAAATCCGGAGAGACGGTGGCCCCAGCGGTCTGATAGATTTTTTTGTCTAGATGTTTGTTATGCAGGACGTGAGGATGTGCATGAGACCAATGTTTGCACAAGCAGTCCCATATAAGGTCGCTACAATTTGCCAGTGATGAAAGTCACTACAGACAAACATTGTGTCTGTTACAACGTTATTTATAGGGTGCTTTTTTGCCCTTACTTCGTTTGCCTACGTTGTCCAAAATATTTATAGTACTGTTCTTAATTTCGAGGTACTTGTACTTTACCTGGGTATTTCCATTTTTGGTACTTTATACTTCTACTTCCCCACATTTCAGAGGCAAATGTTTGATATCTTTAGTTAGTTAGGCCTAATTTGCAGATCCATATTAATAATAAAATATAATCAGTAAATAAAGAATGATGTAATATTATAGATTAGATAAAACTGTAATGATCCCTGGGGGGAAATTCACAAGTTACCCACCAGATAAAGTATAAAGTAGTTAAAAATAGCTCCATCTTTCAAAGCTGCAACGTTAAAGTGATGAACACATTCATGTATGAATAATGATAATCTAATAGTAGGCTGATATATATTATTCTGAAAAGGTCCATTCAGCATAATAAGAACTATTACTTTTGGGCGCCTACTTCATGCAGCCTATATTTTTATGCTAAAAATTAGTAAAAGTTTGAATGCAGGACTTTTACTTGTAACTGAGTTTTTCTACACTGCTAAGTGCACTATGTGAGTACTTCTTCCACCTCTGTCTATTACTACTTATATTTAGTTCATGATACATTTTTTTACAATTGTTTTTAATCAATATTAGGCTTAAAGGTCCTGTGAGGATTTCAATTGTCAGTACAGAAACCGTTACCTGAGATTTAACATTTCCTTCCCTTGAACTGGATGAAATAGGTTCTACTTGTTACCTGGTTGTTGCACTCAAAGCTTTTAAACGTAATCGGGGCTGTTGTTTGCCTTGGCAGTGACACTGGTCCTTGTTTGCGTACATTTTGGCCATCCAAACTGTCCTTTCCACTTAGCATGAGATCCTGCTGTTGCGTCACGGAGCCTGACAAGGCTTAATTAAACCCATATTGAGAAAGAGGACAAATCCAGCCCCCTTTCCTAGTCAGTTTAAATACCGGCATGCACGCGCCCTGCAGTGGATTTTGACCGCAGAGAACGCGTTAAGAGTCACGCAAAGATAGCTGCACGTCAATTTGTAACCACTGAGACATTTTTAACAGACAGCATGATGGCTGGACTCAAGGTAAGGCAGCCTTAACTTTATTCATCACTATTGTAATGTTTATTCTCTATAGGCCTAGTGCTTAGGAACTGGCTTTGGCCAAGCCCCAAAGTTTGTAAAACTTTGCAAACATGCTGACATTCAGGATTGTTTAGAAACTAAAGGACTGCAGTAAGCGGTCTATATCTTGCACCAAAGATTCGCAAAGTTAAACTGCATGGAGCCCCACCAGTGACTAATCTGTATCAGATGACACCGGCTGGCTGAAGGGCGGTGTTGCCTCCGACCAATCAGAGTGCTGCATTCAGCAGCTGCCCAGATGTGGTCAACAGCTTCACAGAACAAAAATACTTAAGTGGAAAAACACAATTTAAATAGATACACATTTTAAATGTATTTTTTGCAATGACCATTAAAAGTTAGTTCCAAACCTGCAAATCATTTATTCCAGTATTGGATCTCTGTCTACATTAATTGACTAGCTTTTCGATGAAAGCATTGTCAGTCGAATAAAGCGTCGTTTTTAAACACTAGTTGAGCGTAATGCTTATGGGATAAGGGGAAACTGGAATTGTGTCAGTAAAAGTTGGCAAAACTTTTACTCAAAAGGATTTAAAACATTTGACTGAATGAACATTAATCCATGCCATTTTAACTTTGTGTTTGTTTCTTTTGCTCCTCTAACGCCAAATAAACGTCTCAGTTGAATAAAATCCTACTTTACATAACAGTCTTTCATGAGGCACAAACTGGAACCTCAAAAACGTCTTTACGCACGCGCTCTAGACGCACCAAGGGCGCATGAACGCGCACATATGGAAACCATCCATGCCCTCTGAGTGTGCTTTCTGCAGACTAATAATGACTCAGCAAGATTTCTTCACATTGTGCCAAGTTCGTGTTTTCCTGTGGTAAGGAAGACATGGTTGCTGGCGATCAGTGTCACTGTGGAAGGATAGTAGAACTGAAAAAATTAACTAAACGTACTGTGAAGGTATGTTAGAGCAATTAGTCTGTTTCTGTAACACAGAAATAATGAATGACTGCGAGGGGGGAGTTTGTTTTATCATGTGAATCAATATGACAACAATTAACAAAAAAACAAGACTTAATGACAAGCCTTCAGAATTAATTATAACCAGCATGAACACATTTATCCTGCATTGCAATGAAGCCGCATGGTGTTTACATGTGTATTTTTTTTTTAACTTTAACATGGCTTAAAGGCAGGGTAGGCAAGTTGCGTCTGATACACTTTTTGTCATATTTGTTGAAACTGTCTTTATACACCAATGCATATTAAAAATTTAAGTGCTCTGAAAAAGAGAGTATAAAAATCGGCTGTCTGCATTCCTCTCAGGGCTGCAGTAAACACAGCCACTCGTTTCATTCGGACCAGTGCCGTTAAATATTATTTATTAATAATTATTTATTAATAATTATTTATTAATTTATTTAAAGGCCCTGATTCGGACCGAATGCAGTGATTGGCTGGGTGAATGTCACTCTCCCTCGCTACCATGGCTACCAGCAATGCTGCTACAGGAGCTGCCCCCCTGCGCGCACCCTCAGCTGTCTCAGACTGACAAGCGAAGCGGTCAGACCGGAGGTAATATCTGCGTGGCTTTTCAACGACAACTGAGGAACACCAAGGGGATGAAAAGTTACACCGTGGTGGCTTTATTTCTGCTGGACAGGTAATCTGGCTTTTATCATTTTGATGGTAATTTGTTACTTTCATCGCTAGCAAACGTAGCTACCTACTTAGCATACAGCTAACGGTTGCTACGAGTGCAGGCTGGTGTAGGAGCCAGAGTAGAGACATTGAATTATATCTAGCTGTAGGTGAGCTGGTAATATTAGGTAAGACAATGTAGGTGTAGACTGCGCCGGTTTAGTTATTCACCATCTAGGTTTATTATACTATGTTTACACCTATCTTTACACCTTGTATCTAATCTGTTTGTTTAATTATCTTGTGTCTGCAGGCGTTGTTTGACAGTATGTTACTCTTTTACAAATGATGTAGTTTGTGTTTGCAGTTATGAGAAAGACATTTCAACGTTAGTGTACATAAACAATGATGGCTAAAGGTCTCCTATAATATAGTTTGACATTGTTCGTAGCTAAACCTACTGTGTGAAAACCTTTTACTGCTGTTATGCCATTACTTATTTTACCAGAAGTAAAAAATCCTGTATGTTTTATTTCTACTGTGCCCTCAGGTCACCTGCAGGTTTGAGTCTTTCATAGCCCTGTACTTCTCACCAGTATAAGCTGATCGGACCATGCTGGTTGGCCTGGATTACAACCACCGTGTCCACAGACCAGAAAAGCTGATGACACAATTCAGTATGTTGCATTATGAGTACTCATGTGCATTTTATTCAATACCTTTATAAGTGATGAGTCAAAAAATATTAAACAGTATGAGGAATACAGATAGATGGTGCTGATTTATTGTTATTGATTGCATTTTATGTGGAAATAGTTTACTAATTACTCTATAGAGAACAATGTCAGATGTTAGAAACTTTTCACTAAGCTGATCCTCCTTTCTGTATTATCAGGTACAGCAAGGTGTACAACAAAAAGTCCAGGAAGTGGAGCTTGTACTCATTGAAGGTGGAGAAGGACTACAGTTACATCGCAGACCTCCAGAGTGCCATCCTCCTCCTCCGACGGTTGTCTGCTACTGAGGAGATGCCTAGAAGCAGAATCAGGAGACCTGATGATCCCCGTCAACATGGTGTTCAGTCAGGTGTCCCTGCCCCAACTGTGTTGCTAGATACAGCAAAATATAAAACAAAAGTAGTATGGTTGGTTTTGAAATGTGGTAATCATGTCAGAGAGATGACTGTGATATATTTAATCATCTCCACAGCAGCGATACGATGCTACGAGTAAAGTCTGAACTGTCTTCACAATCAGTTGATACATCTGGACACAGCTTGTCTCTTCCTGTATATACTTATTTTTATTTATGTTTTTAAAATGATCTATTTGTGATATAGGTTGTAGTTTTAGTATATAATAACAATAAACAAGTGTTATACCACATTTGGATGTCATTATTTCACACATAAGACACAAATGTAGTTACTTGATTATTTAGGCTGCAAGTGTAAAGAAAAGGCATTTATCATTTTCAATGTTTTATTTAAAAAATGAAAATATTATCAAGAACAGGGAAAAATACCTTTGTATTTTCTCTACCCTCCTGGGCATAA